CTGCATTATGTAGAGAAAAGGAAGTAATAAAGGTAGAAATCAGTGAAATAGAAGAAAAAGAAACAGAAGGACAAAACAAAGAAACCAACAATCACCAATTTCAAGAATAAGATGACATAAAGATGTCATAAAGATATGAACTTTATACCAATAAATTCACCAATTTAGATGAAATAAGAATATTCCTTAAAAGATGCAAACTACCAAAGCTCACTCGAGAAGATATACAAGCCATAAACAGCCCTATAGCTATTAGCAATATTAAATCTGTAGTTAAAAACCTTGCCACAAAGGTAACTTTAATAAGACTTGATATCTCACTTAAGAAAATGCAGAGAGGGAAATAACCACAGAATTAACAACCACCAGATGAACCATGGGGTATGAAGAAATGATAGAAGTGGGGAAAGAAAGAAAGGGAGAAGAGGAGGGAAAAGTGAGAAGAAAATAAAGACCTCCGGTTGAAACTTTAGGACTATTTTATTAAACTTTATCCCTCTCCCTTATCTCACAAAAGCAAACTTTAAAGAAGAAGTAAGATAAACACTGCAAAGGGAGGTTAGTTGTTTTTTTTTTTTTTTTTCTTTTAATATTTCCTGTTCCTGGGTGATTACTTTTGCCCATCATCACTGGATTCTACCTTTTCCCCCTGGCACTATCAGGGAGAAAGTAGCAACAACTGGTCCAGAAATCACCTGTAATGAAATTAAATACAAATGTAGGGATGTTTCTTTCTTTTTTTCTTTTTAATGATTTATTAATCATAAGAGACACAGAGAGAGAGAGAGAGACAGAGAGAGAGAGAGAGGCAGAGACACAGGCAGAGGGAGAAGCAGGCTCCTCGCAGGGAGCCGGATGTGGGACTTGATCCCAGGTCTCCAGGATCATGACCTGAGCCAAAGGCAGACGCTTAACTACCTGAGTCACCCAGGTGTTCCGGTAGGGATGTTTCTAACAAATAGGAAGCCTATTAGAGACACTTTCTCTCAAATATCTCAAATATGCATATTTGAAGAATATACTATAAGTATGATACACTAAACATAATCTTTGTTTCTTCCATAAGATGCTTCATACAAGATGCTTTTGATTCCTTAGGCTTTCCTACTTAGCAAACAGGAACTTCTTGCCCTTCTCTGCTATGTTTTTAGTGGAGCAGAAGCCAAAAAACTCTGCAGTGTTTACTTCCTTATTTGTCCAACAAATCATCATCAGTGAAGTCAGCAGCAAACCGAACAACCCTGAAAGGAATGTTTATTAACTAAACACTGTTCCAAGCCAGTTGAGGAGTACAAAAAATATGACTTGGCTCTAAGTCTCAAGAACAGAGTTACTACCAATTTCTCCTAAAACTTGGGCCCCCCTCCTAGACCCAGAAAGGTTAAGTCTCCACAGTACCAAAGTTGCACATGATTTTAACAGTTCTTCTTAAATGAGTATATGCATAAAGACACAGTTTTTAAATATAACTGTTTCTAGCCTAGTAATAGCGTAAAATTGCCAGTGGTTTTTGTTATTTACCTAAAAAAATATTACATGCTTTAAGATAAAGATCTGAAACAAAACTATGAAAATACTTGTGACTTCCTCATCATATAAGGTTAAAAAATATAGAATTCATTCTTAGAAATGGCAAATATGGGGATCCCTGGGTGGCGCAGTGGTTTGGCGCCTGCCTTTGGCCCAGGGCGCGATCCTGGAGACCCGGGATCGAGTCCCACGTCGGGCTCCCGGTGCATGGGGCCTGCTTCTCCCTCTGCCTATGTCTCTGCCTCTCTCTCTCTGTGACTATCGTAAAAAAAAAAAAAAAAAAAAAAAGGCAAATATTCATTTATATGTTCATTGGTGGCATTTTATTAATTTTTTTTTATTTATTTATTTACGATAGTCATACAGAGAGAGAGAGAGAGAGAGGCAGAGACACAGGCAGAGGGAGAAGCAGGCTCCATGCACCGGGAGCCTGACGTGGGATTCGATCCCGGGTCTCCAGGATCGCGCCCTGGGTCAAAGGCAGGCGCCAAACCGCTGTGCCACCCAGGGATCCCTATTGGTGGCATTTTAATGGTTTGGGAAGAGATTAATAATTATATATACTCTATTTATACTCCAAAGTTTACTCTATTTCAAACATAGTAATCATTTATTTGCAAATTACCAATTAAATAAGCAGTAACAATGTATAAGGCTGAGAGGCAGGTTTGTTATTACAAAGGAATAGAGCCAGTAGCAATTCATTTTAAGCTAATTTATTTATTTATTTTTTAAAAATATTTATTTATTTTATTTTTTTAATTTATTTATGACAGTCACAGAGAGAGAGAGAGAGAGAGAGAGAGAGAGAGAGAGAGAGAGAGAGAGAGAGGCAGAGACACAGGCAGAAGGAGAAGCAGGCTCCATGCACCGGGAGCCTGAGCCTGACGTGGGATTCAATCCTGGGTCTCCAGGATCGCGCCCTGGGCCAAAGGCAGGCGCCAAACCACTGCGCCACCCAGGGATCCCATTTTAAGCTAATTTAAAACTTATAAACTGGGATCCCTGGGTGGCTCAGTGGTTTGGCACCTGCCTTTGGCCCAGGGTGCGATCCTGGAGTCCCAGGATTGAGTCCTGCATCGGGCTCCCTGCATGGAGCCTGCTTCTCCCTCTGCCTATCTCTCTGCCTCTCTCTCTCTTGAATAAATAAAATCTTTTTTTTTGAATAAATAAAATCTTAAAAAAAAAAAACTTATAAACTCAAAAAGGCAGTACTGGTTCCTTTTTCTTCAGTTGTAAAATATTCAACCTATTTGATAAATGAACACATGATAATAACGGATAATAACAGATAAGATCAAAATACATAAAAGCAAAGGATGGAGAAAGTCTATTGTTCTATTACAAAAATCACCAAATTTCATTCCACAAGTTTTATACTGAGCTGTTTTTACTCACATTGCTTCTGATACCAAATGCGTGAGTTTTTTTCTCACACCAACTATTTCTCCAATTTTCTGACACCAACTGGGTATTCAACAATTCAATTCTGACAGTATCTACCTAAAGTTACCATCAGATCCTTATGAATTCAAGGACTCAGTCCCACAAGACTATTCTCTACTTCAGATGCCAACTGCAAGTCTCAGGCCACGTGTACTTCTAATTTACTACCTATTAAATCTGGGTTCCCACAACCCTCCCTCAGATTTGGTAATTCACCAGAGTAAGATAGAGAGAGAGGGGCAGTATATGAATGTAGTGTGTATGTGTGTTTTCTATGCTCTCTTCAGGCACCTCACCTCAATGTTAGGGTTTTTGGGGTTGGGTTTTTTTGTTTGTTTTTGTTGTTGTTCTTCGTTCTTTTTTTTTTTTGAGTCTCTATACCGAGGCATGACATTAAAACACTGGCCACTGGTGACTAAAGTCAATGTCTGATCCCTCTCCCCTCAGGGGGATGGGGGTGGGTGGGAGATGAAGGTTCTGGCCCTCTACACACAGCGTTTGGTCTTTCTGGAAATCTGAAGCTATCTAGGGACCCCAGTCATTTGTCATCTCAGCATATGAAAAACACTCTTATCCTTCCACCAAATTTCAAGAATTTTAAGAAACAAAGACCAAATATTTATTCAAAAAAAATTTTTTTAAGATTTTATTTATTTATTCATGAGAGACAGAGAGAAAGACAGAGAGGTAGAGACACAGGCAGAGGGAGAAGCAGGCTTCATGCAGGGAGCCTGATGTGGGACTCGATCAGGCCCCGGGCTGAAGGCTGTGCTAAACGGCTGAGCCACCCAGGGCTGCCCTCAAAAATTTTTTTTTAAGATTTACTTATTTATTTGAGAGAGTGTGTGTACACATACGTGACCGGGGGAGGGGCAGAGGGAGAGGAAAAGCATCTTAAGCAAACTCCCCACTGAGTAGGGAGCCAGAAGAGGGGCTCAATTCCAGACCCTGAGATCATGACCTGAGCAGAAACCAAGAGTTGGATGCTTAACTGACTGAGCCAGCCAGGTATCCCAATATATTTTTTTCTATTATACTATAGCACCTATTCTGTTCTTTTTCACTGTGAAAGTCACAATGAGAGATTATTATTATTTTAAATTTTTAAAAAAGATTTATTTATTCGAGAAAGAGAGAGAGAGAGAGAGAGAGAGAGAGGCAGAGACATAGGCAGAGGGAGAAGCAGGTTCCTCTTAGGGAGTCCGATGCGGCACTCGATCCCAGATCCTGGGATCACGACCTGGGCCAAAGGCAGGCGCCCAACCGCTGAGCCACCTAGGCATCCCAATAGAGATTATTTTTTAAAAGAATACCATTCTATAAAATAACAACAGAGATATTTCTGAAGAATTACAAAACATACTGTACCTTAAATATTCAAATAGATGTCATCCTCCAAAACAATTATCTTTGGAGATTATATTGTGTTCTAATAATCACGTTTCTTTCAAAACAAGATTATAAATCATCCAAGAAAATCAGCAATTATGTAGCATCCATATCATACAGATATTTCCAATACAAATCTCCTCGTTCACTATAACTTCTATTAATAACATTTTTCGATGTATCCAACTATCAATTATGCCAAATTATGCCATTAAAAATGGTAATTTTCTATCAACAAAAATACATAAAGGAATAGGCCTCTAGGAGGATAGGAAGGTACCGCTTAGGAAGGTAACATTTAAAAACCTTTTTCTAACACTGCTTAGTGCTAGTCAATGTTAGCATTCATAAATGCAAATGCATGCTTCCATGGTTTCCCAAGACGGCAATTTAGATTTAGATATAGAAGTTTAAATATTCAAATATGTTCCTTTTTTGTTTTTCAAGACTCATTATGGACCTATCTTATATAAAAGAAGCATATAATTCAACAAGCTAACAATCTTTACAGAGTAAAAAGATGGGGAAAAAAGTAAACTAATAATTGGCATAAGCTTACATTCTTTTCAAAAAACTGTTTTTTGTACATACTTGAAATCACCCTAATAAACAAAGTTCACATGTTTATAACATACCATTTACAGCTTTTTCAATCAATTCTTCACAAGCATCAAAATCACCCTTCAGCACCAGTTTATCATGTAGATCTGTTAACATGGGATGTTCTAGGGCAATCTTGGTTTTTTTTTGTAGCGATTCAAAGGCCTCTGTATAGTTGTGTTGTCTGAAGTGTTTTAGGCAAAGGCGAATAGCTTCCTGTTCACGGTACTACTGGAACACAAGAGAAAGCATGAAAAGAAGAGATCTGCTTAGTTATTACAGTAGGCAGTAAGTGACTACTAACCTAAAGTGAGCGTTTACTATGTGCTAAGCATTATACTATTCATTAGCATCATTATTATTTCCACTCTGAAATTGCAAAACTGAAGCATAGTCAATTGTAATAACTTGCCAAAAGTCACAAAGTATATAGCAGAAAGACACAAAAGAGATGAAGATATACAGATATATGTACATATACCCATTGGTATATATTTCACGAAGATGAAAAGCATAATAAGATGAAACCAAACTTCATTCTAGAGTTTGAACTTTTAAAAAAGCAGAAAAAATGTTTATCAAAGACCACTTAAGATTGCAAAGATTATAACTTCCATGGCTTTTACTCATCAAATTACAATGTTGGTACTGAAAGCATAGAAACCATTAAATAAGATATATGAGTTATGTTATACCTTTTGTTCTTAGTTCAATTTATTACTTGAAAAGCAAATATTATCAAGTGTTTTATGTATTTCAAAATTCACAAACAAGTTCTTTGACTCAAAATGATCAGAAAAAGACTACTTAAATTTTATATTTTTTTCTAAGCCTCAGCTACCTCATCTATTAAATAGCTATAAGGTAAAAACCTAATTAACTAGTATCCAAAAAGAAGAATGTTCAATGTACTAACTCTCTATTAGGATGAATGCCAAAAAATACAAGGTCAGATAAAAACTTAAAAAAAAAAATACCAGTAACTTGAATATTTTATGAATTTCCACAAATTTCCTAAATAAAAATTAACAAAATTAACTAATGACAAAGCAGCAATACATGAGAACCAAACAAAAATATGATTACTTGTAAGCATTATTCTTTAATAAGGCAAGAAAATATTACCTTTTAGGAAAATTTATAAGACTTAAAACATAAACCAGTTTATAACTGGCTAATTTTTTTAATTAAGAAAATGTCAAAACATTTTTCCTTAAGTGTTACACTTAACCAAGATATTCCTTAGTCAAATAACAAAAGATTGATTCTTTATCCAAAGGAACTTTATTAATTTCTTACCCTTGGCCTCTAAACAAAGATTTATCATAACTATCTGGAATCATATTAAACAGTAATACCTTTTTAACATGTTGACTTTAGAAGTATGAATCATATCCATATTATAAGTTTTCTATCAGGCTGCATATAGATACATAATAGAAAATTTATGAAACAACAGAATTTCAATGCTTTAAAAAAAGACAAACCCAAAGACTTGAAGACTTTATCTAATTTCTAGAAGTTCATCATAAATGCAGGGAAAAGTGAGTGAGTCTGAATAATTTTATGTTCTCAAATATATCTCTCTACAATATTGGGGAAAACAGGTAAAATCTGCAACTGCCTACAATAGCAAGAGATTTGTGTGGGTAACTAAAATACATACACATGTATCAGGAAAATTGTATTTAAGTATCAGAGAAATTTAATCATTATTTTTTAAAAGAACCAACAGCATTTAGAAGATGTTAAGTATATGCAATTATGTGCATAACACTGTAAAGGTGATTTTTAACGTTTTAAAATATTGTCTCTACCTTGAAAGAATTTACAGTATTATAGGAAATCCAAGAATATATGAAAAATACAGAAAATACTAAGTCAGCATCTACTTTAAGCTGAATAAGAATAAAATGCCAAAAAATAAATTAAAGAGTTCCTCAAACTAACGAGAATAGAGCTGAAATTCCATATAAAAAACCTTAGAAAGAATTTATATTGCTTCCCAATTTCCTATGAATAGATCAGTTCACTAATACTTGCAAATAAAAATAACAGCAAGTAGTGATTAGACTAAAGCTTCATCATCTTGACAGATGAGCCCCTCCCTATCAAAAAAAAAAAGCTGAGAGTCAAATAAATATACATCAAAAACAAAAAACAAAGCATAAAATGTATGCAAAAAAACCAAAAGACCTATTTCTTTTTTTATAAGATTTTATTTATTTATTCACGAGAGACACAGAAAGAGAGAGAGAGAGAGAGGCAGAGACACAGGCAGAGGGAGAAGCAGGCTCCCTGCAGGGACCCCGATGTGGGACTTGATCTCAGGTCCCCAGGATCAGGCCCTGGGCTGAAGGCGGCGCTAAACTGAGCCACCCGGACTGCCCAAAAGACCTATTTCTCAATTTTTTAAACTCACATTTTCTCAGGCTGCATTTATTGAATAAAATAACCTATATATGAAATTGCTAAATATAATTTTTACATTTCCTAAAAAGACAACATTATAATATTTACAGAAACATTTCAAATTCTTTAAAGGAAAAGTAAACATTCCTATTTTATTCAACAAACACAAAGGAATAATGTATTATAAAAGCATACAGAATCAAAGCTACTCCACTAAAAACTAGGTTTAAATATGTCTATCAATATAGGTGGTTGAAAACAAAATTCAGGGCCAGATAGGTATAATAATATACTGGCCAACTTTGGAGCTAGATTGCCTGACTTGTAAAGGCTTGGGCACTTTACCACTGTGAACTATATGGCCTTGAGCAAGGTACTCCACTCTTGGTGCTCCATTTCATCATCTGTAAAATAGGGGTAATAACTATACCTATCTCACAGAGTGGTAATGGTTGAATAAGTTATAAAGATTGCTTAGCAGCTGGCAGAATGTAAATAATAAATGTTACTGATAAATCATTATAATTATTACACTCTCAGTATTTTAAATTCTTCTCAACGAAGACAAAAGCTTGACACATTTCTCCCTTTATAGGCATCAGAAACATAAAATCAGGATTTTTTGTTTTGTTTTAAAATCAGGATTTTAAAATACAGTCCTACCTTGCTATACCAGTTCAGACAGGGCTGTACTACATCGGGATCATCAATGCCACTGAGTTCAACATACCAGATGCTGAAGTTAAAGCTGGGTCCCCACGATAAGAGCGGAACTATGTGGAGAAAAGAAAGATAGAAAAAGAAAAAAAAAGTTCAAATAAAACTTTAGCAAAGTAAAGTAACTCTTCAAACCCATTTAAATTCATTCAACAAATTTTCAGAACATTTTCTACAAGCCTAACACTATTATTAGGTGCTGGGACTACGGTAAAAATAAAAAAAAAAAAAAAAAGAAGAAAATATGATCCATGCCATCAAGGGGTTTAATTATAAAAACACTATAAAGTAAATTCAAAATACTCATTTATCTATCCCTCTAAAAACAGGACCTAGCCCTAGCAAATTTTATCAAACCCACAAGAAACAAATAATTACCATATAAATTAAACTGTATCAGAGCACAAAAAGAGATCAAAAGTTCAATTACTTAACAAGTGGCATAACCCTGAAAACAAAATCAAAAGAAAAAAGAATTTAAGGCTGATCTCAGCTATAAATCTATATTCGATTTTCTTTTCAAGTTGCAAAAAAAAATTCTACCAGGTTTTCACTGTAACCAAACAGAGGTCATTCCAGGAATAGAAAGATGGTTCAATAGAAGCTATACTAGTATAATTCACCACGATAAGAAAGTATAAGAAAATATGTCTGATAACCTTAAGTTATAAAAAAAAAAGACATATTTTTGAGGTCTTTTCTACTCATTAGGAAAAAAACCCCTCTTAATATGTAAGAAATAGAAGACAAAAGAAAACTACCTTACCTAATTTTTTTGTTAAATATCAAAGACCTCAAAAATTATACCTAATGGAGAAACGTTAAGTATTACCACTCAAGACAGGAACAAGACAAAGAAGCCCAGTTATCTCTATTATTCAACACTATATGGAAGATCTTAACCAATGCAGTAAGTGAAAAGAAAAGCAACTTAAGAAAAAACACTTTCACCTGAAGATGATATATCTATCTTCATAAAAAATTCAAGAGATTCAACTGAAAAATTTAAGTTTGTAAGCATGGTAAACATGAAAATCAGTTTACCTTCTATCTGTAATAACCAACTAGAAAATTTAATGAAAAAAGTCCCCTTTATAATGGTCACAAGAGCTTACTATATCTCAAAATAAACTTTAATATATGTGGGATCTATTGAAGAAAACATAAAAATGATACTTAAGAATTCAATAAATGAGAGGACATAGTATGTTCTTAGATGGGAAAACTCAATGTTGTAAACATGCCAGTTCCCCTCAAATTAATTATAAATTTAATGTAATCTCAAATGAAAGTCTCAATGGTATATTTCCATTTTTTTCTTTTTTTTAAGATTTTATTTTTTAAGTAATCTCTACATCTGATGCGGGGCTCAAACTCACAACCCTGAGATCAAGAGTCACATGCTCCACCAACTGAGCCAGCCAGGCATTCCATATCCATTTTTCTCTTTACATGTAATTGAACAAGCTGATTAAAAAAAGAAAAAAAAAATCAACAACACAAGAATATCCAAAAGAAAATAAATATACTAAAAAATGCAGTAATTATAAGTTTAATATTAGGGAAAAGGAAGGCAAATTATTGAAGAAGAAGAGTGAATCCAAAAATCCTAAGGATTCAGAGGAGTTTACCACAGGATGAAGGTAACGCTTGACTTCACTAAAAGACAGAACAGAGTTGAGGTTTTTAACATATGATCCACTGCCTCCTGGAGCATCCTTGTAACCCTTTTAGGAGGTCCCATGAGGTCAAAACCATTTTTTCTATTAAGACTAGGACTTTAGGGATCCCTGGGTGGCGCAGCGGTTTGGTGCCTGTCTTTGGCCCAGGGTGCGATCCTGGAGACCCGGGATCGAATCCCACGTCGGGCTCCTGGTGCATGGAGCCTGCTTCTCCCTCTGCCTGTGTCTCTGCCTCTCTCTCTCTCTCTCTGACTATCATAAGTAAATTTAAAAAAAAAAAATTAAAAAAATAAAGACTAGGACTTTATCGGCCCCTCACCTTTTTAAAACTCTACTGACATGTACGTTCATGGTGCAAAGGCAATGCTGAATAAAACTTCCAGCACCAGTAGTACCATGAAAAGTAGTAACATGAAAATGTATCAGTATTTCTTAATATAGTAAAGACTACACTGTATTCCTCACCATCATATTCTTGCAATTAAAAAAAGGGCAATTCATTTAAGAATGTTCTTGATGATGCAATACAAATTTTAATAAATCCCTATTAGTAGGTACATATCTTTTTAATATTCTGTGTGACACAATGGAAGTATACATAAAGCACTTTTGCTGCATACCAAAGCATAATGCTTACCTCAAGGAAAACAACTTGTATAGTTGAGTTATGAGCTAAAAAACCCATTTGTACCTCCCCCACCTCCTCCAACAGGATACAACTTCCCTTTAAAAGAAAAATTGACAGGTCATTTATGACTATTTAGTTTGGGGTACGGGCCAGATATTTACCTGCCATTTCAAAGAAAACAACGGATAGTATTTGTTGCCAAGAATAAAATTCAAGCTTTCAAGGAAAAATCACAATTTTGGAAAACTGGAGCACCTGGGTGGTTCAGTTGGTTGAACACCTGTTTTTTTTTTTTTAAGATTTATTTACTTATTCATGAGAGACACAAACACAGAGAGGCAAAGCACAGGCAGAGGGAGAAGCAGGCTCTTCGCAGGAGAAGATGTGGGACTCAATCATGGATCCTGGGATCAAGACTAGAGCCAAAGGCAGCTGCTGAACCACTGAGCTACTCAGGCGTCCCACACCTGACTCTTGATTTCAGCTCAGGTCATGATCTAGTAGTCTTGGGATCAAGCCCCTTGTTGGGCCCCACATTCTATAGGGAATTTGCTTGAGATTCTTTCTCTCCCTCTCCCTCAGCCCCTCCCTACTCTCTCTCTAAATGTAAATTCCTTTATGTAGTGGTACCATGTTAAAAGTTTACCTACTACATCACAGAAATAACCATTAAGTAGTAGGAGTCAAAATAAAGAAGGATTTTAAATCCAAGGCCAAAAAAACAAAGTCTCTAAGAGTAGCCAGACATTAGTTAGGAATTTTAGTTCCTAGTTCCAGGTCCAAGTGCAATAAGATCAGGAGGAAAAAGTCCTATTAAATCTTATTCAAGTTCCAGTAAAATGTTCATTTATTAAAAACCTTTCTAGCAAATGTGTTTTTAGTGAGATTTCATCTATATACTGAAGAGCCCAACAGAAATATTTCTAGAATAATAATTATAATTCTTAAAACCTTTCAAAGAACAATGTTGAGAGGGAGGTTAATTAGGAAGTCATCTCACAAGAACATCATGTTTTAAAGATGAATGAAAAGTACAGTTAATTTTTAACAGATTGAAGGGATATATACAGAATAAGCAGAGTGATGTACACCCACTTCAAATTTTACAAATGATTTTTGTAGCATTAATAACTTCAATAATGCATAATAGACATACTATGCAATATATGTCAGAAATCTAAATGAATTACAGTTCCCAGCAAAGAATATCGGCAATGAAGGATGCCTTTGCTTCCACCTCAAATACAGATTAGATGCTCCTAATACACATCCTAAAGCTAAGAGTTTGTATGCTAATATTCAACCATCAGTTTTCCTCATTGGGCAATCAGACACAGCTATGATCAGGATCAGTGCTTCTCATTCTTTTTCAAAATGACATGCATAGAAAGTGATAATATTTTTATGGTAAACACAGGTATGAGGCTCCGGACTCCTGATAATCTCGGATTAAGGTGAGATCAACATCTCAACACAACAAAATGCATTTGTGGCATTTTCAGTGTGCTCTGGCAGTGTCACTTAGCAAGTTCTTACACAGATGGCTAAAAAAGCTACTAGAAGATGCTGGTAATTTCAAAGTTCTGAAACCTAAAAATTCAAGACTAACCGCACTGAAAGGATGTATCTATTCTACTATAGAATTAGTAAGTACACAAAACATTAAGCACAGTAACTGGCACATAGTAAGTACTCAATAAATATTAACTTTTATTATGAGCTATTACTATTATATTAATTTTCCTCTTAATAGTACACTTTTTAAAATGTCACCTTTCCACCTGCTTTCATAAGGACCACCACCAGGGCACCCTTCCCAGACTTAGTACTCATTCTAGACTTCTAAATACTTCTAAAGATTCAGAATGCAGGCCAAGTCCAGCCAGAGCTGAAGCTTCTCCCTAAAGCCCCCACAACCATCCAGTCTGCAGAAATCCAAAAAACCCCACAGAAATACAAGTCATTCTAATAATTTATTATCCCAAGCAGGTAAACATATATCTGCTAAATCACCATCAAGAGAGGGCTACGCATCACTCAAATGCTTTTTCAGAATGATCTTTTAAGAAAACATGGTGATAAACTAGAAATATTTTATTATTTTCAAAGAAAATGTATCAAAAGAATGTTGAAAAGACTGGAAAGCAAGCACACAGCAGACCACTATTAACAGAGAAGGAGTATGAAGTTATCTAAATATTAATACCATAAATATCAAATGAGTTACTAAGTATCTACAATTATTTGAAAAGCTCCAATTAACATCTTGCCTAAATACCATGAAACTAACCCAGGGTTAAGTAAAAGACATCATTATGCCCTGTAATTAAAGACTGACAGAAAAAAAAAAAAAAAGACTGACAGAAAGGTCTAGAAAGAGGTCTAATTTCTTGGGCAGCTGAATGTGTAACTCATCCAGAAGAGAAATCCGTTTTAGTACTTTTTCAGGGAAGAGACTGTGCAACTTCTCTAAATAGACATTTATTCATACTTTTTAGAATGAATAATACTAGAAGACTGAGAGCTACAGAAGCAGTAGCAGTAGATAATTTCCTTCAAAGTAAACCAATGACTGTAGGTATTGTGCAAAAACACACAAATAAAAGATTTTGAACATAAAAAAAGAAATTTTATTTTGTGTGATGAAGCAAAACAGAAGTTATGTAAGTACTTTAAAATTTGATATAACCCAAATTTATTATAGGAAAATATAAGATATTTCACTGCTTATATATTTGAAATACACAAGCATAGAACTATTAAAGCTATGCTCGGGTCTGTAGGAACTGGATGGTCTGTATACTTAAAAATTTGCTTGTTCATAAATTCTTACAGGAAAACAAGAAACAGGTTTTTGTTTACAACTATTTACAATAACAAACTACAGTCATAAAAAAAAAAAAGCAACACACTGGATAGTGCAACTATTGCAAAAGGAGTTTGCCCTCTCTAGAAGTCTTTATTAAGACTTTAGATATTCTTTTTGCCAAAGAGAACTATTTGGGTTTTTTTTTGTTGTTGTTGTTGTTGTTGTTAATTTTTTTTCAAAGAGAACTATTTGATTCAATGAAATGAACAGGCCACCTCTTAATAGGTTGGCAAAAAATGACTGTGAAGTTCACTGCTTGTTCCAAATGAGGAATATTTCTCCCAAATCAAAACATGGGATTCTGGCTTTTATTATTATTCTTTGAAGGATCTGGTTCCTTTAATTTTAACATATTTTCAGTTGTGCAACACAGATGCAAAATGCAAATTCAAAGATTCAAGTCCTCAACTTTTCTACCTTAAAAAAAAAAATCCTAAAGAAAAACAAAATAACCCTAAAAATATTAAGGTTGAGGAAGCATTACAGAACTGTCTTAAGGGACACCTGGGTGGCTCAGTGGTTGGGTGTCTGCCTTTGGCTCAGGTTGTGATCCTGGGGTCCTGGGATCGAGTTCCCCATAGATTCCCCACAGGGAGCCTGCTCCTTCTCCCTCTGCCCATGTCTCTGCCTCTGTCTGTGTCTCTCATGAATAAATAGTCTTTAAAAAAACAACAACAAAAACAAATACTATCTTAAGCTAAAACACTTGCTAAATAAATACAAGTAGTATTTTTTAAACATTACATTGCGGGAACCCTGGGTGGCTCAGTGGTTTAGTGCCTGCCTTTCGCCTGGGGCCTGATCCTAGAGGCCCAGGATCTAGTCCCACATTGGGCTCCCTGCATGGAACCTGCTTCTCCCTCTGCCTGTGTCTCTGCCTCTCTTGTGCTCTCTCTGTGTGTCTCTCATGAATAAGTAAATAAAATCTTTAAAAAAAATAAAAATAAACATTACATTGCGTCATATTACTGGGCTACAAGATTAGTTTAATTGGTTTGACCAATATTATACTTAAAAAAAAAAGACATAAAAAAACAGAATGGGGGAGGTTTAAAATAAAAACAGAAACAATAACCATAATATATTGCCTTAAGGAATTCAGTTTTTTAATTCATCAGTATTTAGTTTTAGAATATATTATAGCTTTGCAACAACTTGATAAACCTTCCATAAAACAATCAAAGCTGAATTAAGTCATTTATCTCATTATACCTTCTAAGAAAACCTTCAAATGAAAAAATATTTGGAAAAGGTTCCACTTGAAATAAATATCACTTATAAACTTATAAAGCAGGGAACAGAAAACTTCTTTTTTTTTTAAGGTTTTATTTATTTATTAGAGCCAGAGAGAGACAGGCGGAGGGAGAAACAGGCTCCATGCAGGGAGCCTGACATGGGACTCAGTCCTGGGTCTCCAGGATCACGCCCTGGGCTGAGGGCGGCGCTAAACCGCTGAGCCACCGGAGCTGCCCAGGGAACAGTAAACTTTTGATGCAGAGGGCCAAAAGGTAAACATTTTGTCTCTTGCAACTACTTTGTAGAGCAAATGCAAGACATAGACATTACAACCAGTTAATAATCAGTGTGGTAGTGTTCCCATAAAATCTTATTTTAAAAAACAGGAGTTCTGAAGGATTCAGCCCACAGGCTTTAGTTTTCTGAGTGGTGGTATAAAGAATTTATTTCTATTTCAGAATGCTAAAACCTTACCTATTTTAATGAATCGACAAGGGAACATCTGTTCATCAATTTTATGCTTCAAGGTGAATGTTTCTTTGTTATAATCATTCTTTAAGCCACTGTGAAAAAAAAATAGGTTATCTGATTTTATAATTTAGTAAACATAAATCATGCTCAGATCTTTAGGTTAGACAAACTACAAGACCAAAAGAATGTAAAGAAGTAGTCAAACATGAGAACATAGGTCAAAAGTTCTACATTCATATCAACTGCATTTTAACTGTACTCTCCTAATTATATAAGGCTTAATGAAAAATGTTCAATGTTAATTAAAGGATGTGGCTACAGTGCATGGAAATGTGTGATAGTACCTGGTGTCCTTAGTGTATAACAGGATATAAACATAAAATATGTAAGCAGTAAGAAAAAAAATAAAATAATTTACTTTCCTATCTAACGACTCAGAGCCAAATATTAGTCTGTGAAACAATTAAGTTTTTCAAAATTCTGATTATGATGTCAATAATGTTCCTCTTACGGTTCAATAAACACTCCAATGGTTTAATAGCACCCATTTCATCCTAAATAAAAATAAACCCATATCACTTCTCTACATAAACAACTAGAATTAAAAACAAGTATTTATTGGAAAATCAGTTACCTTTAGGTTGCCTATGTCCTAAAACACTTTCATGCAGTATAGATGTAATATTTACTTATATCAAATACTGTGCTAACAGGACACATTATATCAAAAATACATTCCATGTGGCTTTGTTTGTCCATTCTGTGGTTACCTGATTTTTCATCACCTAGGGGGAAAATTAACACTTTCATTCCTCATGGTCTACATTTTTAAAATTCAAATTTACTGAGCTCCTTCCAAGTGGCAGGCATTATGGTAGATAAAATCACATACTTTTTCTCTTCTCAGTCTCCAATTTATACTAAATTTCCCAAATATTGTTTCCAGATTAAGGCAATCAATCTTAATGCTTTGGATAGAGTCTATATTTTTATAGTGAAGATTTTTATTAAAGCTGAAAATATTTGAGGTTGTTTACAGTTCAAAAATAAGATGGGGGGAAAAACCCAAGTTTTATTCTTCATTAGTAATAATAATAAGTAGTGGCTGGTGGTTAAAAAAAAAAAAAAAGGCTAACTCAAGCCACAATATTAAAATAAGCCACTGGAAATACAATGGTAGAAATATTCTTTTCTTCCTTGAAAGAAAGAAAAAAAAATCAAACCATGCAGATTTAGCCACAAAGGGATAAAACTGAGACTGTAACTTGTTTAGAAGACAACTCTTTCTTCCCTATAATCATAACTCACCTGGACAATAGCTCTGTCATATTTTCTTCATTCATTCCACCAAAGACTTTAAATTTCTTCAAATTGCAGACATGAGTTTTCTCATATTTTCCAAATGTGATGTTCTGGACTATAGCAGGCCTTTCAAGTTTCAGAATCAAGTACTAAAAAAAAGAAACAACCAAATCATAACCTTTGTTTAAAACAAATAGAAAACAACTTTAAAAAAAACTTTGGACAGGATGCCTGTGGCTCGGTCAGATAAGTGTCTGCCTTTGGCTCCAGTCATGATCTCAGGGTCCTGGGATGGAGCCCCAAGGCAGGCTCTCTGCTCAGGGGGGAGTCCGCAGGTCCCTCTCCCTTTACCCCTCCCCCTATTTGCTGTCTCTCTCTGTCTCTCTCTCTCAAATAAATAAAATATTTTAAAAAAATAAATAAAACTTTGCACAGTTAACTGAAGAATGCATAAGATCTGTCCTATCTATCCTGCACTGGTAGACTATGTTTTTAATGCTAAAGAATAGTATGACAACACAGCCTGTGTAGGCTACCATACCACCACTTTTTCTCAGCATCATCCTGAACTGTAAATGAAGGGGAATAAAAGGACTAGTGAGATAACTAACAAAGGTGTGTCATTCAATAAAAGATATAAACAGACTATGAATTACCAAATAAAACCAGATTAGACAGCAAAAATAGAAATCACATATTCTCATCAACTACACTTTGATAACAAATTCATTGTTCAAAATCAGTGATAAAATCTTAAACTTAAAAACAAACAGATTTACTAACCAGCCCTGCCAATTTTATAAATTAAAAAACCTGGGCCTACTATAAATTTGTCTAATGCAGCTCAAGATTTCTTGTTACACACTGAATAAAATGGGGTCAATTAATTAGGAACATGTTTTACATTATGTAGATTGTTTCAATTATAAAAACCAAGAAGGAAACTACTATTGGTTGAAAATATGGAGAAAACGCTATTCAGAAAAATGATTCAGATGTTTTGCTCCAGTGGCTAATAACGGGTAATACAGGTGACAAAGGTAGAATAGGGATGCCTGGGTGGCTCAGTGGTTTAGCACCTGCCTTCGGCCCAGGGTGTGATCCTGGAGACCCAGGATCGAGACCCACATTGGGCTCCCTGCACGGAGCCTGCTTCTCCCTCTGCCTCTCTCTCTCTCTCTCTCTCTTTCTGTCATGAATAAATAAATAAAATCTTTAAAAAAAGAAAGTTACATAAGGGGGTGCCTGGGTGGCTCAGTCAGTTAAGCATCCAACTCTTGATCTGGAGTCAGGTCATGATCTCGGGAGTTGTAGGATTGGGCCCTGCAGCGGGATCTACACCAAGCATGGAGCCTGCTTAAGATTCTCTCTCTCCCTCTCCCTGCATGCTCATATGCATTCTGTTAAAAAAAAAAGTTACACAAGAAAAATGTAAACTCTCTATTCCGAAGCAAAACACAATGGTCTGATAGAAACACACCTCGGGGGCAGCCCTGGTGGCTTAGGGGTTTAGTGCCACCTTCAGGCCAGGGTGTGATCCTGGAGACCCAGATCCAGTGTCATGCCAGGCTCCCAGCATGGGGCTTGTTTCTCCCTCTGCCTCTCCCTCTCTCTCTCTCTCTCTCTCTAATAAATAAAAAATCTTAAAAAAAAAAAGAAAAAAGAAACACACCTTGGTAAAATTTTAATGTTCGTGGTGCCTGGCTCAATCAGTAAGCATGTGACTCTATCTCAGGGTCGTGAGTTACAAGCCCCAAACTGGAGGTAAAGCCTACTTAAAATAAAACAAAACAAAACAAAACAAAACAAAACAAAAAAAAGGAATAACCTAAATGTTCTGGAAAAACCAGTTAAGTAAGTTTGATACATTCATGCAATAAATTTTAATATTTTAAAAATATTAATGTTTAATCACATTTTGGCTTTATTCATAAATTTTATAATTTCCATTTTTCTAACTCTTGAGCACAAATGTTGAATAGTGCTACTATTCAACAGTGCTGTTCCACAACTAAATAGGTTTTCATTATTTTTACTTTGGAGAAATAAGTGCTGTAGATATAGCAATAAGGCTAAAAAAAATAAAGTTCATTAAGAGCAAACTTTTTTTTTTTTTTAAGATTTTAATGATTTGTTTGACACAGAGAGAGAAAGAGAGAGAGAAGAGCACAGGCAGAGGGAGCAGCAGAGGGACAGGTAAAAGCAGGCTGCCTGCTGAGGAGGATCATAACTTGAGCCAATGGGAGATGCTTAACTGACTAAGCCACGCAGGCGCCCCAAGAACAAACATTTTAGAAAAACTATTTTAGAACCTATTATAGAGAGTTAAGGGCAGCCTGCCCCAAGATGGCCACTTTGGTATAAAGATTATTTCAAGTTAAAAGTAATCAAAACCCAACAGATATAGGAAAAGCTCTCTACTTCCCCATCAACTGCCCAGCTAGAAAGATCCTGTACCAGGAAGAGAGTAATTAACAAAGGCTCCCCTTTACCTCAGGAACTTATCTGCATAACACTGAAACCTTGTTTTTCCAAACATCTCCTTTCACCTTCTTACTAATGAACTTTCTCCCCTTTGTACCCTTAGAACCTACCCCTCACCTTAGCTCTTGTACGCTTCACATTGCCTCACTGTCTTTGGAATTTCATGTCTGCGTGGATTCCCCATATGTACAGCTATTATATTTCATTTTCTCCTGTTAATCTGTCTCATGGCAATTTGATTCTAAGTCCAGCTAGAAGGAACACCATGCAGAGGAAGGTCTTCCTCCCTGACTATATATCAACTTTAGAATATATGTGTTAATATACTAATTTTTAAATAAAATATAATGTACCACAATCTCTTTTTCAAAGGGGGGACACACACAGAAAATCAAAGAATTATCACGATAGTTTGAAATTCAGTCACAGAATTAAGTAAGCAACAAAAAAAATTTACTGTTCAAAACTTGTTCACAATTTCAGTCTTGAGGTATTTTTTCAATGTGAGAAAGGTGATTTTAAAAATCCTTTTTAATCACATCAATAATTACAATTTATAAGGAACAGGGTGATATAAAGGAAGAAAATGGGAGAAGGGAGCTAGTGTAGTAGGACTTTAGAGCTTTAGATGGGTTTAGCAGTACAAGTGCTTCAAGGGAGCTGAGACTTAAAGGATGAGACACTGTATTATTAGTTTCCTCAAACTGCCATAAGAAATTACAACAAACTTCGTGGCTCTTATTCTCTCAGAGTTCTGGAGCCCAGAAGCCTGAAATCAAGGTGTTGGCAGGACCATTTCCCTCTGAAAGCTCTAGGACAGGATCCTTCATTTCCTCTTCTAATATCTAGTGGCTCCCAATGTTCTGGGCTTGTGCCAGTGTAACTCCAATCTGTCTCCAAGTTAACACGGCCTTCTTCCTGGTGTCTTTCTGTGTTGGACAAAGATCCTCCCCATTGGATCTAGGGCTTAACGTGATCCAGGATGATCTCACCTTGAGATCTTTAACTTAATTACATCTGCTAGGATCTTTATTCCAAATAAGGTCACATTTTGGGATTCCATATATCCTTTGGGGGTGGGGGGATAGTCACTACTCAACCTATTACATAGAACCAGCAATGTCAAGTGGTATGTGTTAAGACTGAAAAGGTAGGTATTCTATGCCATTATAAGAAGTGTGATTTATAAACACGATGAGATCTATTAAACATAATGGAAAGCCAAATCTGATTAACATTACACACACACACACACACACACACACACACAAAGTGCTTTATGGAGAATAAATCAAAGGAAGTGAACTGAAAGACCAGTTAGGATGCTGTTACAGTAATTCAAGGATGAGATGAAATGAAGACCTAGACTAGAACGGTAGGAGATAAAGAGGATTAGACAGCTTCAACATATTTTGGAGACAGAATAAATGGAATTTAGTGATAGCTGGATGTAGGAAGAGGACCGAGAGGTATCAAGGATGATGATTTAGCTTCTAACTCTAGTTAACAGGGTAAACGGGAATATCGTTTACTCTGATCGGAAGGGCTGGCAAAGAAACAAAACTAGAAAAGTCCAGATCCATCTCTATGTATGACTGAAAACAATAGTGATTTATGAGGTTTTATGATTCTGTGAGTTCAATGGACAGTTCTTCCAGTAGTAGATCCTAGACTCAATCATGTTGCTATCTCAGCTGGAGAAATGGACTTAGTTGAAGTGGAAGTGAGGAAGAAGCTGAACTTCGTTGGGACGATTAAACCTTTCCATGTAAGACTGTATCCTTAAGGAGGTCAGGTGGGCTTTCTTCAGAGCATTGCGCTTTCAGAGTTCTAAGAGAGAACAGAGCTACAAAGCCTATTAAGGCCTTGCTCAGAAGCTGCAGTAATATTTTCGTAGAATTTCCTGGTAGTCAAGCAAATCTCAAGGCCAGTCTAAGTTAGGGGAACAGACTATCTTGCTGGAAAAGAGCGTAACATATGACCATATTATGAAATCTGGACTCTAGTCCAGGTGGAGTAGAGAAACACAAAGGGGTTTTAAGGTGTGGAGCAACAACAATAAAATCAATACCCATTCAGGACTAGAAACCCTCAGAAAACTATACAAAAAAAGGGCAACATGGGCGGCCTGGGTGGCTCAGTAGTTTAGCATCGCCTTCAGCCCAGGGCATGATCCTGGAGACCTGGGATCGAGTCCCATGTCGGGCTCCCTGCATGGAGCCTGCTTCTCCCTCTGCTTGTATCTCTGCCCCTCTCTCTCTCTCTCTCATTAATAAATAAATAAAATATTTTTTTTAAAAAAAGGGCAACTTTCTCAACTGATAGAGGACATTTATAAAATATCCACAGCCAGCATTGTACTTAGTAAAGATTCCCCCCAATATTAGGAGAGAAAGTTGGAGCCAGGAGGGAGGAATACAGAAGACAAGAAAATATTTCCAAATCAAATATCTGGTAAATAACTTATACACAAAACATTAAAAAACCTCAAGATTCAATAATAAGAAAACACATAATTTTAAAATGAACAAACATCTGAATAGTCACTTTACCAAGGAACATACAGAGAAGTCAAAACAGGCATATAAGAAGATGGTCAACTTCACTAAACATTCTTAAGATGCAAATTAGAACCACAAACACTTATACATTACTTTTCATTGCA